TTGACAGAGACATCCTAAATGTCAGATATCTAAGTTGTTTTACTAAATTAAACTTTCTATCATGAATTTGCATCATGACTCGACTACAACTTGGTGTAATAATGAAAAAGCTTTCTTTAAAAACTTTATAATATTGATTTTTTATTAGAAACAGATTCACAACATTACTACTTCGTAAAAATGTCAATTGTATCAATCATAAGTTTAAGTTATTGTTATTATTTGTTGTAAAACTTTAAAGCTATAAAAATAAAATGTTATATATTTACAAGATAAAAAGATTTTTATATTTTATTATTTAATTATATAGGGTGTTTAGTAAGTAAAGAAACGAGTTTCTATTATTTTCATTGTTTATAACAATTGACATTTTTCCTTACTTACTGAACACCTTGTATAACTCAAATATATTCTCAGATAAGTTAATTATTCTAAAAAGTAATCGTATGGTATTACTGGTATTATATTTAAAGAAAATAATTAGAGAAACGTTTTGATTTCTGTAATCAAAAGATGTGATTCGAAAGCCAATTTGAGCTAAAGGCTCAGGACATATTGTAATATTATTAAATAAATAATACATAAACATAATGTCATATAATTACTGTTCTAACAAAAGAGAATCTAAATGTTCAACAATTCAAATTGGAATATAAGAGTTAAATTATCAAAATAATTATAAAAAATTTTATTTCTTCTAAAATCTTACGTCATCCACAGAAAATAGATATTTAAAATTTTCTTTTAAAACTAGAGTCAAATAACTTATGAATATTAAAAATAATAATGGTCCTATAGGATCACTTGAAGTTAACCTGTTAAAACGCTTAATTCGTCTGATGTATGAAAAGATAAATTTACAATTTGTGTTCGATTAGTAAGTAAGAAGCAATCCAATTTCAAACCATTCTACTAATTTAAAAGGATTTACATTTATGTAAATCACAATTAATATTGTTGAGCGCTCTTTGAAAACATCTATAATAAACTAAATTAAACTGACAAATTATGAGGTTAGATGTAATAGAATGCAAGGGTAAAAATTCATGTTGTGATTCACTAATAAAATTTGTTAATAAATTAGTTAACTTTTTAGTGGTGATTGCATCAAATATTTTTGGTACAATAGACAATTTGGATATTGATTTATAGTTCCAAAAATTATTTTTCAAGCCCGTTTTGAAAATAGGAGTGACAAATGTTTTTTTGTCATTTTGTTATTTTTTCCAACTGAGATTTGGGAAACATAAAATCAGAAAGAAAGCGATTATATAAATAATGCAATGGTCTAATAAAAGTCGATTTACAAGATTCTATAAATATTGATGTTATATACTGTAGTCATAGTTGTTGGTGAGTCAAAACAAAATTTAGAGCCCTTTAATGGGAGTGATAATTGAAAAATCTTTAAAAAATGATTATCTTTTGTCCTGTGACATAATATAATTTTTAAGCTAGTCTCAATAAATCTACACTAAAAGCACTCAACTATAAGAACAGAGGCTATTTTTAATCTTACGGTGGCCGTACGCAGGGAATCCGTTTACTATAATATTATTATGTCAAAAGCAGCCAGCAGCAGGTACTCGTTCCCCGAGCGTGTAGCCGAGTGGCCGAGTTGTAGGTCGTTGTCGGGTCTTACTGACGTCGAGACCCGTCGAATCGATAATTCAATGCCATCGCCGCAGCAGCACCGTCACACATCTATTATCGTATAAAACACATAGTATTTGTAGTACTCGTGTATATATCTATTATAATCCTTTTTTTTTGCCATTTCTACAGTAGCCAGGTGATTCAATCGACTTTGAGAATTTCATATAATATAATAATTATTTAACAAAATATTAAATCAATTTAAAATATATTTCAATGTAAAAACCATTATTTTTCCAAGTTTTCATTCATATTAACAACTTTAATTTATAATCGCTTTAGCATGTCATAAAAATCGATTTGACTATTATTAATAATACAAGGAACTTGTATATTTATACAACAGCACAAAATATTCTGTTTCACAGAAGCCTCTAATTTAAAAATTCCAATCCTCTATTATAATTTTAATAACATCATTGTGACAAGCTTATTGTATAAAGACTTATAAAAGTCAATTAACATTTGTAATTAAATTTGTTTACGAATATATATATATATATTGCTTAGTGTGAAAATCCTATTGTTTATGACTGATAACGTTAAAAGACTGTTTAATTAATCTTAATCATAAACGTTTCAAGTAAATATTCAGCTGGCTCGTGGGTGCTGGTGGTGAGGGTACGACTTTAAATATAATACCGCTAGTTATAGATATAAAAAATTGTCAAATTAAATATAATAAAATAAAACACAATACACATATTATTTTAAAGGTCGCAGTAGAAAATAGAAATGAAAATAATAATAATAGCGGTTACACTATTATAGCAAACGAATAACGACGAGCGTACAAGTAGTTAATTCTAAAAATAAATTGCCCAATATAGCAATATACTAATATTTTACTGTATGGACGACGCTGCCGGTCGTCCAAAACCCGCACATAAGATCGCAGCTTAACTGTACCCGCACGCACACAATAGGCGCCTCGCTTATATTATACGTTTCTGCATGTTGTTCGGACGACGCTGTTGGTTGGGTTATTCTCGTGTGTTCATGCGTACCTGAATATACTGAGGGAAAGAACTTAAATGTTCGCACACCACAAATGTATTACAACTATTTTACTATTTAAAAATTTGCATTTTTAATTAAAATGTAGAATTAAGAATACAATTAATTTTAGGGTGCGATCGTCCCATCGTCCAAGCCCCACTGGTTGCAATATAATTAGAATTTTACAATTATTCTATCAAAAAACTTTTTTCTTTATAAATGTAACTTTTATTTAATTTTTAGGTTAAACTAAATAAACACATTAATTTTATTACATAGCTAGTTTAATAGCGTAACTTGTACACCATATTTTTTTAATAAAATCTAATCATTTAAACTATAAAATATATTCTAACAGTCATGAATTCCTTAATCTTTGTATTTCCTTCATTATTTAAATGTTAATATTTAATAACAAAGTATATTTGTTCATTATGTATTTATAAAATTAACGTTATATACAGCATTATAGAATACTTATATAACAATTAACTGCTGAAACAGTGAATATAATTTGTAATTCTCACCGAGTTATCACCTAGTACAGTTAAAAAAATATGTATTCAACATAACTAACTAAACTAAAATCGGTAGCACAGTGGGGTCGCTGCTCAGTGTGGACGTCGCATAGTTGGGACAAGTATAGATGATATCAGACAGTGATTAAAATTACTATCTTAAGAAACGCTTCGATGCAAATCTGTAGATAGTGTTTAATTTTAAAAAATTGATGGATTATCTAAAAAGCAACATCAAATCTTATCTCCTTAATTATATCCTTACTAGTAGTTCTTAGATTTAAAAATATAATTTATGAATAAATATTTATTATAGAAATTAAATATAGTATTAAATTAATATTGTAATTTTTATGGAGAAATAATAATAATAAATGATATAGTAGTTTATTTCGTCACTTCTATAACAAACATGTATAAAAATTAAAGAGCTTGTTCCAATACTCTATATTCATGATAATCATTGAAGTTATTGAATAGAAATGAGAAAAATCAAATGAGTTGACATTTTATTTCTAACTCAAAAGAATTTAGAAAAAAATCAAAACCCATTTGTGGGTCAAACTTTGTACCTTGAGCGTAAAAAACCCAAGTGTTACCGACTCAACCGTACATCACATTTCTTCAGAGGATAAAAATAGCAATTTAAGTTAATTCAAACTTCAAATTTATTTTTCTCAACTTAAAAGAAGCAAAAAAATTCTAAGAAGTTTAACTTTTGATGCTATGTAAATTAGATTTGTATAATATTTATGTAAATCAGTGTACTCCCCATGTCGGGTATTTTTAAATAAAATAAAACACAAACCGATAATTTAACACAAAAATAGCATGTTTTTCAATACTGTAACTATTTTCATCATGAAAACAACGTAAACTGTGAAATTTTTTTTCATATTAAAGTATATTACATTCACTTTAAGATATATGTAATAGTATCAGTATTTCCAAAACATTTTTAAAAATTAAGTTGAAAAAGTAAATTTTTTGTGAAAAAAGTTGTCATTTTGAATCCCCCTTGTGAGCAGGTTAAGGGTCAGATTTTCAAAAAATATATACCTAATGTATCTATAAAAAAATTAGCTTCTATTCATATATTTTTCAAAAAGTTATGGTAGTTTTAAGTAAAAAAAAATTGAAAATAAGTATCGATTTTTAAATTTGCTATTTTTTTTAAAATATACCCTATTTATGGAGAATTTTTTAATTTTGAGGGTAATAACTTCGATTAGATACGATTTGTAATCTTTTGACGTATCATTAAAAGAAATCGGTTGGAGAGAGCTGAGAAAAAGTGGGTAACAGACACAAATAAAAACAATATCATAGTAAAATTCTCAGCTTCGAATCGAAGCAAAAAAATAATAGATTATCAAAACTTTGCTCTTTAAAAAAAAGCATATAATATTAATTTTTAGCCAATCTACCCTTACACAAAAATTAGATTAATTTCTTTTTAATCCCTAAAACTTAAAAAAATTTCAAGCTTGACAATAGAACTGAAATATTAAATTTTTGGATTGGTTTTAAAAATTGTCAATTAAAACTCAACAACCAAATCGAACACAACAAATTTAGTTTGTCGAACAATTTAATTTTTTAATATTTTTTATGTACTGTATTTAGGTTTTATTTTATTTAATACTTGCAAATATTCATTTTAACTCAATAATTTTATTTTTTCATTTTATACATATCATGCACGTTTCAAAAAAAAAAAACTATTGTTACATTATTTTATTGTACAATATCTATCTTTCAATCATCCATCACTTTTTAATATTTTTAAGCACTATATTTTTAGAAAAACATGTATTTTATTTGTAGGCAACTGTGCCATTAGCGTGACATGGACAAACGTGATCTTGTGGGGAAATTGCCTCCTTTGGCCTCTTCAGAAGACCTCAGTGAGGATATATGCTTAGATAGTCCAGATGCAGATAACAAGATCACATGCTTAGAAGATATACAAGAATTACCCAATACTCCTACCAAATCACCGAGACAACAAACAATATGCTTGGCTATGCCCAATACCCCCAGGATAGATATTTCTAGAGCCAGCAGTTCTTCATACCACGACGACAGTAGCCCCGAAAGAGAATTATTTGTCGGTAAGTCATCATCATTGATAATAAAATATATTTTCCAAAAATATATTGTATTATCAATTATATCAAATTTACACAATAAAAACCAGACAAATAAATCTCCTAGTAAATTATATATACACTAAATAGGGTTCTGTAGTTGAATAAATGGTTTGGCTAGGGTATTTGATGAATAACCTTCTTTAAGTTAGTATTTGATTTAATGCCAAAAATAAAATCAAATTATCTCATCCAAATTTTAAAATAGTATTATTGGCTTGCTTATTTCTAAAATGATGTATAACATAAGATTTTGAAATAAGAATGCTCATGTAAACATTAAGACTATTTCCCATAAGTTTTAAAGAATCCTCTTTAAACTAAATATTTATGCTACTACTGTCTTGGTAAACTTATAGTAATCAATTTAAACGAATGTCTTGCACGGTATATAAGTTAAATATGTTAATTAATATGTTAAAATAAGATATATAACATAAAATTAAAATGTTAGAACATTTAAGATAACATTATTCCTGAGCTTAATATACTCCAAATGCAATAAATATTTTCAATTTTTATTAAATAATAAGGAAACATATTTTATTATTACTAATTTAATATGTTGATAGATGCTGACGGAAAATCAGTAGAATCTGTAAGATCTGGCCTTGGATATACAGAAGAAAATATTATACCTGATTTACATAGCAGCACTGAGGAATTGAATTTTCATGATTTAACTGAATCTGAAATAAGGAGACGTCGATCTAAGTTACAGCCTCAATATGCGGTATATTTTAATATAAATCAAATCTGGGGATTTTTTAGATTTTTAAACAAGAGTAAAACATGTAAATATAAAAAAAATTAATGTGTAACCATAAACCATAATAAATTATTTTTGGGGTTGATAAATTAATTAAACTAAAAAGTATTTTATATACCTGTAAAAATTAAAAATATCTTTTATTTATTTTTATAGTTTCTAATAAATATTTTCGATATTTTTATAGGTCTCTGATGCAACTATGGATACAGATTTCGCAGCCGATCGAAGGGATACTGCTAGCGAATCTGGTTTTCTTTGTATAAGTGGCCGAAGTAGTCGTGTATCTTCAATAGGTTCTGTTCATTCTACAGCATCTGTAGCATCAGCTGTCTCTCGACTATCTGCCGCTTCAAATTATTCCAGAGCTTCCCGGGGTTCCTCTCCACATAGAGTAATTTTAGAAACATCATTTTGTGGACCAAAATCACCCCATCATTTTGCCAATCGTCAACTACTCGTAAACGACGACGAAGAAGATCTTAGTGAACCTACAGTAAGGCCAAAATTGACTGATATTGAAACTCAAACAGAACCTAAACCAAAAAAAGTACACGTAGAATCTATTAAAAGAGAAATTAAGAGTGATCAAATTAAAGCTAAAGTAAAAAAGTCAACAAAAATAAAAGATACAAAAACAAGAGAAATAAAATCATCAACTATGGAGGAAACTCCAAAAGAAAAGAAAACAAAAACTAAGTCTTTAACTAAAGTTAAAATTGTATTGGACAATCCAAAAATGCAAAAATTTGTTCCTCTAGAAAGCCTTGACGATGATGATGTTGAAATCGTCCAAGGTAATGCACCTAAACATGTTCCAGTTGCTATTCCTTACGAACAATCATCACGACCAAAAAATATTATAAGTGGGGAAAATCAAATTTACATTCCATTGAAAGGAGATCCAAATGATTTAGGAGGAAATCCTTCAAGTCTTAAGCGTCTTAAACCGTTTACAAATCCAACTATATTGAACTTTATTAATAGAGATCCAGCTACCATAGAATCGTCTAGAAGAATAAAAAAACCGGTTCGGTCAGGATCTCCAGGTATTAGAGAAGAATTCCAAAAATTTATAGCAAGCGCAGATGATGAAGCAGATGGACTACCAATAAAACCTGTTAAATTACGAAAACAATTAAGTGTTGATACGACGAAGCGAAAATCAATAGATCAAGACTGTTCTTCTAGATCAATGTCACCATCGATTTTCGAAGAATTCCAAAAGTTCATAGCAGAGCCAGAAGACGGAGACGTCAACGTCGTAAAACTAGAGAGTAAAAATCGTTCTTCCGCTATTTCTATTACTAGCCGTGAAGTGCAATCAGTTGTCGGTTCTGGAATTACAGATAGTCCAAATCTTGAAAGATCATTATCTCCTTCTATTCATGAGGAATTTCAGAAGTTTATGGCACAGCCAGATGACGAAGAAAAAGGCCTTATACACAAATCTTTACCACCATCTGCTTATAAAAATGCGATTATTGGTAGTCCTTCATTATCAACTTCCAGTAACATTCGTTCAATCTCTCCTAGTATATATGAAGAATTCCAAAAATTCATTGTAGAACCAGAAGGGCAAGATGTATTATTGCCACCTCCACCGCCTAGAAAACACGATCTAGAATTGCATCCTGACGATACACCTCGAAGTAGATCGGTTAGTCCAGGCATACTTGAAGAGTTTCAGAAATTCATCAACGAACCAGATGACGATTTATCGGGAAGAAAATGTGATCCACCACCTCCTCCTAGAAGTCCACAGACAGTAAATCTACAAGCTCAATGTTCTCCTTCAATTCAGGGTCAAGCAATGAACAAAAATATTGGAAGATCAAAAACTGACGATCAGGTCAAAATTGTACCTTTAAAAAGCTTAGATGATGCAAGTCCAATAGAGACTGTTACTTCATCATCACAAGATCAGATCCTCAGGAGGCGTTCTGAGTCTTCCAATGAAGCCAGACCAAAAACCGGTAACCAATAAATACCTATCGGTTTTTGTTTGGCGTCTTTTACATGTTTTTAGTTGTATAATAACCATAATTTTTAATAACCCAGTGCTTTCTTAACCACAAAATTAGTGTGCATAATAATAAATTAATTTTTTTTTAAAGCTAATCGTGATATCTAAATTTAGAATAACACTTGTTACGAGAGTAACCGATTCGGATTCTCACACTCAAAAATAAAATTTGCATAATTCAGATGGAACAATAAAACAACAGTGTTTTATAATATTAATTGAAATTAATATATAATACTTTAATGTAAAAAATAAATTTTGAAAATATTTTAATTCAAATAAAAATTAACTTCAGTTATTTTTTAGTAGTCTAATTTTTTATGTGCTGTACTATATAAATACGATTATTTTTCCATTAAATACTTTTTACTTTCTAAAATGGAAAAAATAAAATTTTGTTCAGTCATTTAAATTGTTTTAACAATCAAATAATTTAATCTTTCATTCAAAAAAACATATGTAAAATTAATTATATCTAATTATAGGGATTAAAAATAACAATAATAAACTAATTTTATAGGGTAGATAATACATAGGAAGACTGAATGGCGCTGAATATTAAAATCATAATATAAAAACTTTACTAACCAACAAATATTTTAAATGAGTTAAGTTTATTATTTTGAGCAATATAAACAATAAATTTTATTGATATACTTACTTTAGATATAAGAGCTACTGTATATGCTTTAGGTGAGGTTTAAACTCAAGTAAAAATTATAAAATAAAAAACATGTGTAAATTATACATATTATATTTATTTAAATATATGTGTCGGATATAAGTCCTCCTGGGGTGTGAAAACTTGAAAGAAGTCAGCGTAGAAGGAAACTTTTTGTCAATCACGAACAGATGCCTACCCGTTCGCCATCTTAATCGGTTTTTCTGTGTGTTGTTTACTAATTTTTATAGTTAAAATTTTTATTAACTATTATACTCGAGAGAGTTGAACTAAATTATTTTTTTTTTAATTTTAGGTACTCTAGAAAAATCAAAAGATCGTAAAGGTTCGAGTCGTTCGTTGTTTGGATCGCTTTTACATAGAGCAAGCAGTTTTAGGGTACTTAATAAGAAGTCACCAAAACATAAAAGTACTTCAGATTTTAGAAACTATATTGATCCAAAAATTACAAACGTAGAGTTCAAATTTAAACAAGATTTTGTAAGTATATAAAAATATTCGTGCAATTTTTTTAAAAAAATATGCGTACACACATGTATATATATATACATATATATATATTATTAGGCCAAAAATGATTCGATTATTATTCCTTTACATTCACCCAATGAAAGTCCTGCAAAAATGTTCGTTAGTGATTCGGAGTTAAATAACACCAAAGAGGATGTTCGCAAGACATATGAAATTAAACCGACAAAACCAAAAAGTAATGAAAAACAGTCTTTGGTCAGAATAACTAATCCTCAAATGAAGCCGCCTAAGAAGTTTATTGACTTGTCTAGTTCTCAAAAGATTGAAATTGTTGAAACTCTTACGAATGAAACTGTTGAGAATTACAATTGTATTAAAAAAATTAACAAAGATCATTTTGATAAAAATCCAACATCACCGCAATATTCAAATAATAGGTACAATTAAACAAATTTTATTTAATAAAAATGTGGTTATTTTTATGGTTTTTTTTTACTGTAATACTGTGTACTCAATACATACAATTATATATAATTATATATACTCAATACAAAAATTCTTATTACTAATGTTTGTTTAAATAAATAAACTTAAAAGAAATAGATGTTCTTTACACACCTCCGGTATAGCGATATATGTAAATATTGAAAACTAATTTTATGCCATATTTATAAATATTGCGTATCTAATACTATATAAATGTTCGTAGTTATTATTGTATATAATATAATATAATACTGTGCATTTAAAGCATTCGTATTATATCAGAGGGTACGGAGAGAAGTAGTAGATTTAGGACTCAATAAATCACGAGTTATCAGTTAGTTTCAATAAACATGATCAACAAATTCAGCTATTAAACTTAAGATGATTTAATAATTTTACAAGTTCTATATTTGATTACGTTACAGAAAATTACCTAACCCAAATGAACAGGTCTAAAATTTACCTAGTTCTGTAACCTCGTATACAATTCAAAAAATTATTTGATTAAACAATTAAACTTAAAAATATTTGGATATTTGGTTCTAAAATTTATTTATTCAAATTAAAACATTAAGTTCGATTTAAATTTTAAGCAGTTTATCATATTATTCATTTATATTTAAGCTATGTCAATACAAAACTACAAGTTATTTACCTTTTGAAATTTAGATTTAACTGTTCAATACAGTAATTTTATCATTTTTACATAGGTCTCCGATTAAATCTGATGACACGTCCCCCGATTCAGAGTCCGCAATGTCTTCATTAATTATTACTGGAACTGAAGAAGAGAAAAAAAAATTGTTTAGCCATCCTAGCTCAGTTGAAGAAGAATCGAGTTGGCCAAGTATACCAACTACACTGCCACAAGAAAGGTAAACTGTGACAATAAATTCGAAAATTTACTGTAACACTCGTTCAACTTCACAAGGTGTCCAATAATAAATTGACAAATCATGTAACTTTTGATCTACAGAATATTTTTCATTGCTTTCTTTTAATACTTTCTTTATATTATAATATATATATATATTTCTTTTATTTAAAAAAATTTAATTATAAAAAAATTTAAAATAGCCATTTTACAGAATAGATTTTGAGAAATAATTTGGTAACAAAATATCTTCTTGATGTTTTGTAGTTCAATTTCTAGATAATTAAAAAAAATATTTATTTTCTTGTGTTAATTTTATGGTATTAAATGTTAATCTATGCTTATTAGATAAAGATAACACTAGATAATAACACTAAGTATTGACTATAGGTATGGAATTTTTTTCATGAAAAATATCCTCACTTAAATGGACACAGACAATTATATTGTATAAAATTAATAAATACTATTATATTAAAACTAGTTGTTGCTTATAAACTGGTAAAGTAATGTTATTTGCATAATAATTGATAAATATTTTCATATAATTGTTAAATTTAAACTTATATTCTAAAATATCAAGCGTAGAAAAGTATTATTTATCTCCAGTTAACAATGGAATTTCATTTTAACAGAAGAAAAAAGGAATCAAACTATTGAATGATTAGAAGTTTTAACTTCAAATTAGCTCAACCATCTTATAGGTAAAAATCAGGGTTTGAGGCCCATTATCTCATAAAATTATTAATTAGTAATAACCAACTACTTTTCCATAATGTACATACAATTTGAATTTGATTCTCATTTCTTTCGTGCTTTAATTTAATTCCAATATATATAAACAAATAATGAATAAAAAATTATTGATAATAATACAATATTACATTTCATTAATAAACATTTTACAATAGTAGTTAATAAATAATAATTATTTACAATGAGTAAAATATATTATTATTCACATTTGTGTAAAACAATATAATTCATTGATATTTCATATTTGATATTAATCTAGCTAAGATAACTATTAAGGCGCATTTAGAAGGCACTCTATGAGTATGCCTTGCGAGTTACGAGTTGTAATTCGCGTTCCACAAACTTCTTCTACAACTCACGAGTCAGAATCGCGCCTTTAAAGATTCGACGATTTGGGAGTTGGGATTTGGAGTTGACTCACTGAGTCAACTCATTTGAGTGAACTGATTCATATCAGTGAGTCAAAAATCCCATCTCTAGTAACAAATAACCTCACTCTCACCTATTTCCCAGTCAAAAATCGTTGTTAGATACTAGTATTTACAATAGACGTAGTATTGCATCAGTACTGGAAACTGACCATTGACTAACCCGTACTAGTGCAGTACTGGTTGGCGTCTCGTACTAATCCATTATTAACGATCAGTACTTAGCTGCCATTATTGGCAGAGTGTTGGCATTATACTGGTTGTACAAATCTCCAGTGCTCACCTGTCAGTACGGAAAAACGTTATCCCAGATATATGACAGTATTAGTCCAGTAATAGTAGTCGATATTGCGCCAAAACTACTAACGCCTGTTCAATTCTGGTTAGGGTTTTAATGGATATCCTTATTTTATAATAAAAACATAATTTATCGTTTCATAATTTTGATAAATATTAACAGCAATTATTATTTATTTTAAATGCATTTAAACATATATATATATATATATTATATTTAACGAAATATAGATTTACGCTGTAGTTATTATAATTAATAAAGAACATTAAATACGATTAAGTAAAATTCTTATATTTATAAATTAATTTAAAAGGATTGCACTTTAATTTAGTTTAAAACATTTTTTTTTCACTACATTAGCGTTAAATTTTATTATAGGTCTGTTGCTGTCCCAATCATACCTATCAAAAGTCGGACAGCAGACACAAGTACTTGTTCCCTAGAGAGACCGACCAAGTGTAACATCACAAATGTGGATTTATCATCTGGCTTAGAAACTTACGCTGTGTCAGCTGCGTTTGAGGAAGCCACAATTGTGTCGGGCAAACTTCAAATCAAACTACCAAAGTAAACACACATATTTATAAACAAAATAAACTTATTTTACACCAGAAATTTGTATGATTCTCTCCATAATAATAAATACAATTATTAATTACATACATTTATATTTATTTAGTACGATTTTTTCCATTGTTTAAATTAATAAAAGTTATTGTTCTTTTTAATATATGTGTAAAAACTAATACCTAGAAATGCCATAACGAATTTTACTCGTCAACATTTTGAAACTAAAATATAAAAATTCAGTAGTACACTATCGCAACTACTATCCAAAATTTCAAAATAATATATTAATTTTTATGTAAAAATTATTTAGGCTGAATGGAAAATAGTTATTTAGTCAACTCCTCAATAAAAAATTACCCCAATTGCAACCAAGAGTAGTATTAATGTTAATTTAATTATATTACCAAATAAAGGGTACCACAATAAGCAAAGGTAAAATAAGGAACTCAAATGGGCGTTCTTACAGGGGTGTTATGAGGGATATGGATTCTTACGATTCAAATAAATATATAGAAAAAATGTATTTTAGAAGGAGTTGTAAAAAAATTTGTTATTCTTATCTCCCTAAAGACAAAACCTTAAGAAAGCCATCATCGGTAACTATTATTCAAATTCTATTACTGACTATTTTAGACTCTTTGCTGTATGTATTTATAAGAAATTAACATAAAATATTTTTTTAATTTTATAAATAATAATTTTTTCATTGATAATTAACACAATAAATCTTTTATTAGCTATCATGATGTAAATGTTTCAGGTTAAAATCCTCAGTACAAATCGAATCGTTGACTTCTCCTACAGCTATGGAAAAGTGTACAAAAATTGGCCGTCGAAGAAGAACTCGTAGTTTAAATGCAACCATTTCATCACAGCAATATTGTAACCGTGAAAATTGGGTTGGTTTCGATGAAAACGATAGTGGTAGTTATATCAAACAAAAACCACCAAAAAAAATAACTGCATTTCCAGTATCATTGAGACCACGACGCAAGTCTCCAAATACGAGCGAAGAATTCGTCAGTTGCGGGTGTAATTGTCATCATGAAAATTGGCCCACTGTCTCTTCCAGAAATCGAACTCTCAGTGATACTACATAAAACATGATGACTAAATCCAAAAAACATGTCTGTCGGAATTGATTTTTACAATTAATGAGTTTCTCTTTGAATGCGTTACAAATTTTGCCACTTAATTTGTTTCGTACAAGTCTGCCGAAGATTTGCCATCAAAGCTTAGAGACTTCGTTGTTTTAATAAAAAAAAAATAAGAATATTTGTATCAAAACACCATTATTCTTAATCAAACGCAAAATGAAATACGTAACTTGTATCGTTAAAATGGCAAAAAAAAATAATAACAATTTTATTATTTATATTTTAGTGTTATTAGTATATAACACTGATCTGGTAAAAAAAAATGTCAACTAATCAACGATTGCGATTAAAAAATGTAGTTTCATAATCAAGTCAAGATTGTATTTTAAACTTGACTGTTAATAATAGTCGAGTTTTAAATTCATACTTAACTTTTAATAATTTTACAATTTTGTATTGTATGTGCTTAAGAAATACCCTTTACATCTAGTAATTGTCAAAATCTATTAAATTATATGAGTTTGTTAAATAACTATTTTCCTTAGTGTTTATTTATAAAATAAAATGTAAATCTCGCAATCCATCAAAAATGATTTTATAAATAATATACCAGATTAATTTACAAAAGCACCAACATATTTGTATCAAAAGCACCAAATGATATTTAAATGATAAGTATTCAAATTCAAATACCGCGTGTAATCATGTTATTGTCATAAAAATTCGTTAATATAGAGTGTAATTACATAATTTCATGCGATACAAAACATAATTGAAAATATAAAACACGAGACTAATTGATGTTTTAACACGCTTTTTTTACCAAAAGACTAATTCGAAGTAGTCAATAAAGCGGTTGAAAATTCACAAATGCCGTGTCTTATAATCCATTAATGTGTTAATTATTATGTTTTTTATCACTTTACGTTAAATAGTGTCAAACGTTGTTTATTGTTGTTATTGTTATTATCATTGTTTTATTTCAGTAATTGCATCAATTCGCTTTTATGAATTAGGTACCATTCCACCAATAATGATTTACAGGCGTTCGAAAAATATTTTTAATCGCGGTTATGGATGGTTAGATGATCTTTGTTCTGGTGGATTTTTCTCCATCATTTAAATTATTTTATATGTTTACATATTTATCATTATTATTATTAATACGATTTAGAAGTACTCTATGAAAAACCTAACAAAGGTTTATATATGATATATGTGTAATTTTATTATTGTTAATTATAGTATATATATTAAAATAGTATTTATTATTTTATTGTTAAATTCTAAATTTTAGACATTCTCAACAAAATTTAATATTGAATAAAAAACTTACATTGGTAAAAAAAAAGTGATATTTTATTAATTTTGTAATACCTTTGCTTAAAAAAATATTTACTAAGATTTTTTTATTAATTACCATTTTTTGGTAATTATATTGAATACTAATTATAATCGATTAATGTTGTATTAAAATAATTATTGAAAACAATTAATTCTTCAACATTCAACAAAATGAAAGGAAGTTAAAATGATGGAACAAAATTAAAAAATTATTCCATGTTTTAATCTATCTTCTTAACTTTTGTCAACTCTATAATTAAAGGATTAATAATCAAGATTATTTCTAAGATAAAAAACGGATAAATAAATTGAAGTTAAATCGTATTACATCTCTACCGCAATCACATAACATTCAATCAAGAAATATATACTTAATAAGCCTAATTTAAGCAACAGTTTTTTTTATGAGTAATCAGTAAAAATACGAACATCTTAAAAGTTAATAAAAATCCAAGACATTGAAAATGTAGAGTATTAAAACATTTTTATTAAAAGTTATTAATAATTTTAAAAGGCTTTTTAAAATCAACTCAAATTTTCAACATTTTGAAAATTCTTGTTTTATAATAAAAATAACACTATTTAGGGTGTTTGATTTGACATTGATAACTCGATTTCTATTAAAATAATAATTCTATTGCAAATTAAAACTATTAATGAATATTATTAATTGATAACAACTTATGAATCTGTATTATAGAAATTATTAATATTAAAAATATAGACAGTAATCGTGGCGCGAATAATGAAAATTTTTCAAAAATACATTTACAGCCACTTAGGTATTATAATATTAACGACTTCTAAGATCTTGGTTCATAAATTATTAGTTTATATCGTATTTACAATAAAAATTATTAAATATAAATAATTATGATATGAAAAATAAAAATATGTTTATTATTAAAGAAAAAATCGAACAATAAATTAATCATCTTGTATACATACAGAATGATTTCATGCAAAAATACAATTTTCACATCCCGACTTTTATATACTACCGCACACATAAAATAAAAATAATAACTCTAGATTCATTTTCAGTTTTACTAAAATTAATATTTAAATCAAGATTTTAACACTACATTAATTTAAAAATAATAATTTTATTAAAAGTAATATAACAATAACAAATTCAAAAAATTTAATTGAAAAAAAATATACAGACATATGATGTTAAATACTATACTATACATTTTAGTTTATTACAGGCATAGATACAGCTGCTTTTGTATCAGTAGCATCTGATTCTCTCCATAGTTGAGTAACTGTTTTTAGTTCAGTATAAAAATGATAGCCCTGAGAAATAGTTTTCACAATATGTAAAAGAAATGTACAAATTTAAATTAAAATAGCTTAGTAAAAATAACTACCTGTTTTCCATAAAAATGGTTTTGACCTAAAAATGAGGCTCTTGTTCCAGTAAAAGAAAACATTGGTAATGGTACTGGAATTGGAACATTTATACCAACCTAAAAAACAATAACTATTGAAAATCTATAAAAGTTAAAAATATTAACGCAATTTATTATAATACATTTCCACATTGAACTTCATGGGTAAATTTTCTGGCAGTTGCTCCATTTGTAGTAAAAATAGCAGTACCATTTCCATATGGGTTAGAATTAATAATATTTAAAGCTTCATCTAATGTATTAGCAGTTAAACAAATTAGTACTGGTCCAAAAATTTCTTGTGTGTAGCATTTCATATGAGGCTGAAAAAATAATATTGTAATCATCTGTATTTCATCAATTACAAATAAATTAATAAATACTTTGACATCTGTTAAAATGGTTGGACCAACAAAATTGCCTTTTTCATATCCAGGAACGCTAATATTTCTTCCATCTAATAGTAACTTAGCCCCTTCATTAATACCTGATTGAATTAAATCATGAATTTTTTTTTTTGCTTCAGGCGATATTACTGGGCCAACATCAGTATTTGGAACATGACCTACATATTAAAATTAACTACATAGTAAATAGTTCAACTCTTGACTAACTAATAAATAATTACATTTTATATACCTGCATTTACTTGTAAAGCTTTAGCACGTTCTTTTAATTCAGGAAGCCAATTTTTTGCTTCTCCTACAAATATAGCTGTACTTAATGCCATACAACGTTGACCAGCAGCACCAAAAGCAGCTCCAACAAGAGAATTTAGCATACTAGTTTTGTTTGCATCAGACATAATTACACCATGATTTTTAGCACCCATATTACTTTGTACTCTTTTACCATTTTTTGATCCTCGGCTGAATATATGCTCTCCCTAGACGTTTTAGTAAAATAAATTTTAGATCACACTATTTGAATATTTTGACATGAAAATCAAAGTTCCATAATTTTTCATTTATAGAATGAAATTATTTAGTAAAAGTATATTAATTTAATTATTACTGCTGTATTTGCTCCAACAAATGAAATAGCTTTAATAGCAGGTGCATCACAAATAAAATTGACTGTGTTCACACTACCATGAATGACATTTACAACTCCAGGTGGACAACCAGCTTCAGATAACATCTCTACAAGCATCATGCAATTTCCTGGAACTCTTTCAGATGGCTAAAATGAATTATTTTAATATTATAAAAAATATTTTAATGTGAAAATACAAACTCATACTTTAATAACAAAGACATTTCCACAAGATATTGACACAGGAAACATCCATAAAGGTATCATAGCTGGAAAATTAAATGGAGCAATACCAGCCGTTACTCCAAGTGGTTCTCGATATGAATGTATATCCATATCAGTAGCAACTTGTGGTAAAGATTCACCCATAATAGAACTTGTAAAATTACAGCAGTTTTCAACAACCTCTGAAATATAGGATAAAGTAAATTACTCTTCAATAACATTTTAATTTAAAAAAAATTAACATAAATTAGTACAAATTCATATACTTCCCTGCGGACAGGAGATAAGAATACTTCATAACTTTAGTAGGAAGCGACTAAAGAGGTTGTGTCAGGTTGACAGCCGGCGTAAAAATCTTTGTCAAAAAAAGTATGAGGAATCCTGAACAAAACTTAGACAGATTGTCCCATCTCAGATGTACGCGGGAACAATAGAAAGCAGTTAAAAACGGAGAAAGCCAATGGAATAAAGTGTTTGATACTAACCGGACAACTTGTGCAGTAGCTGTTTCACCAGTCATGTGTACAAGTCTACCCAACGCTTGTAGTATCAACAGTGTAGGGACATCACCACTTAACTCTAGGCTGGACTCATGTATAAAGGAGAAAGATAGATACAAAGTAAGAATAGGTACTTGGAATGTTGAAACATTAACTGTTAGTAGTAGAGAATTAGTAAAAGTATTGAAGAGGAGAAAAGTTAACATTTGTTGTGTGCAGGAAACTAAGTGGAAAGTAGATGTAAGACACAGGATTAAGTGCGGGTGGTTGAAGTGGAGAGAAGCATCTGGTGTCTTATGTGATAAAAGAATTCCAATGAGGCTGAAAGGTAAGTTCTATAAGGCTATAGTAAGACCAGCTATGATATATGGTTCAGAGTGATGGGCAGTTGACAAGAAAGTAGAGCAGAGAATAAGTGTAACAGAGATGAGAATGCTTATATAGATGAGTGGAGTGACTAGAGAAGATAGGATAAAGAACGAGCATATAAGAGGGAGTATAGGTGTAGAGTCAATCGTGGATAAGATGAGAGAAAATAGACTTAGATGGTTTGGTCATGTTATGAGGAGAGAAGAATCGGAAGCTGTAAGACACTTGTAGCAATGAATGTTGAAGGAAGAAGAGGTAGAGGAAAACCAAAAGAGATGGAGAGATGTTATTGAATGCGATATGAGGACTACTGATGTGAGAGTAAAGGATGTGGAAATCATGTCAAGTGGAAGTTTAGGCCGACTTCAAGTAGTTGGAATTAAGACGAAGAAGAAGAAGAAGAGTACAAATTCATATACATTCAAATACTTACGAAGACCTCGTGTCACATCACCTTCAGCATCAATTAATGTTTTTCCTTGTTCTTTAGTAATATTTTCTGCTAATTTTTTCTAGAAAAAAAGATAAATTAACTAATTATATTTATAAGAATAAATTACTTTTAACATTCCCTCTTACAATTTTCTCATTATGATACAGTGGCATAACCAGGGTTTCCTAATAAAAGGAGTATAGTAACAAATTCCTCTTTTTATAATGAGATTTTTTTTTTTTGTTAATTACTTCATTTTGAAGAGAAAAATGTATCCCCTGTAACTCACCTTGACTATCTCACTGATTTATGGGACAGAAAAACAGAACTGAACTTAAATTTTGTACCACAAAATTATGACAAGTTACCAATAATGCTAAATAGACCTACTAAATTATCCCATATTTACTAAAATTACAAGTATACACATGATAAATAAAATTCAGGATTTTACAAACAATAATTTTCAATTGAAAAAGGTTATCTTTTTTTTAACTTTTTCATTTTATTTTAACCAGGACCTTAAATTGAAATCTTGTTTTTTAGTTTTTATTTTTATATACAGGTTTTAATAGATTCTAGTGTTTTAGGAGTTGAGATCTTTTTAAGATTTTAGGGTGCATTTCAAACTTAGCTAAATTTAATTATTAGTAATCATTTTTTTTTCACAATAAAAAATAAATACAAACTTTAATTAATAAATAATGTATATATGTAGAGAATAGAACAAGTTTAATTGATAACTCCTATAATATATTGTAATTGTATCAATGCAATTAATAATTTGTTGTAATTTTTTAAAATGATTAAAAACAAATAATAAAAATATGATTATAACACAGATTTTTAACATAAGAATCCATAAATTATACATAAAAAAAAATTACAATAAAATATTAGTTTTATAAAAAGGTATAAGAATTGGCAGTTTCCATTTAAAAAAATTAAGTTAACGCCCTTTAAAGTTATAAGGGACGATTCTAAAAAATAATTATCAGCTAATAAATGAAAACATATATGCAACTAAAAGAGAACGAACATTTTTTTCATTGTTGTGTTTATTTTGATGTAATCGAGTGTATTATTATAAACCCATCATCCCTGTATAATATTAATGAGTTTTTTTTTGGGTAAATCCAAATAATAAATAAAGGTTTCACTAGTGTTTATAGGTTTAAGTGCTATTTGGTTCATGACCCCAACTTCAACTTAAGAAAAAAAATACTAATACTTCTAGAATAAACAATACAATAGTATGGTTCACATGAAATTTTTTTTTAAATATTAACAATTACAAATATCTTAATTGGATTGTGGAATATACTTATATTTTAGATATTTTCAGTCATATTTTGCTCAATATAAATTAATAATAAATTTCTGAATTAATTAATTGGATTGATATAATAAATTAAAGTTGTTAAACTATCTAAAACTAACCATGTTACTTTTAATAATTTCTTGATAACGAAACATAATTTGTTGTCTTCTCATAACGGAAGTTTTTGACCAAGTTTTAAAAGATGCTTTAGCTGACTCTACTGCATGTTCCATTTCATCTTGTGTACACTTAGGAACTCTAGATATTACCTATATTTTAATGAATTAAATTATAATTTTATTTTTAATATTAAGTGTCATAATTTACTTCATTAGTAGCGGGATTATGAACATCAATCCACTCATTTGTTTTTGATTCAACAAATTTGCCATCTATGTACATAGGAATATTTGGAATAGAACAGTTCAATCTAACTGCTTGTTGAAAAATATTTTTCTTAAAAAAAAAAAAATTAATTAATTAATATACATAACAAGATTTTGATAGAAATTTAAATTTCAAAAAAAATATAATATAATATTTTAATATTTAATTTTTTTTTTTTTTTTAAGTAAAATGAATAATAGCAAAAATTATTCAAGAAACCTCTTCATTTAAAGAGACTACATAGCTCAATATGTGAAAAAGGCTTCTCTGTTTTTTTGGTGATAAAAAATAACTAAATGTCTCAAATGCATAAGAAAAATGTAACATTAAAAACAAATTATTATTTATAGTGAAATATAGGTTAAAATTTAACAAACAAACAAAACTGACATATAAAACTTAAATAATATTGAACTGAATTTTTTTTAATTTAAATCAAAATGTTACTATAATGGTTATCAACTATTTTTGCACAATTAAGTTGTTGCAAATAATATTTTTTTCACAATTTAGACATATTGCTCAACCCTTATACAATAGAAGAATCATTATTTTGATTAATTATTATAACTTTTAATAATATTTGATTTTATTGACGTAAATGAACTTTGACCTCAGATAAGCATATGCTAATAAAGAAAGTAAACACATTGATTAAAGATAAAAGTGAATAACAATAAAAATAAATGCATGTATACACTTTAAAAATACAGAAGCATGAAATTACTATTAATGTCTTTAGAATATATTATACTTTTTAATTAATGACATCCAATCATTAATTTTACGTACATACTAAACAGCAATAGATGGTATACAAAGAACATAGAGCCAGTTTTTATTATTTATAAGTTATTTATAAATTTTATTATAACATTTCCTATCATATTTAGCAGAATCAATGTCATTTTCATGAGTAATTTGGTTATTATTTATTGTAATTTTATTGTCAATTTTGTCTAATAAAACACTAGGAACTTGATCAAGCACACTAACTAGGAACATCTCCATAACACATTTTTTAATTTTCTTACAATAGTATTTGAAATAATTAATATTTTATAAAAAATATATTTTCAATGCTTGTTAAAATTTTGAGTATTTAAACAATTATTGACTTAATAAGAAAAATCAAAAAGTCATATAAAAATAATTCAAACACTTCAATAATATCAGATTAATAAAAGTATTTATAAGCTAATTATTTTAAATTAGATATAGAGTAAAATTATTTCAAAAATAGAAAATTTAATTTTACAATTTTATATAATTAATTTCAGAGTGTAAAATTTTACTTTCTGAAACTGAAAATATTTAAGAGGAACCATATTCCAAAAAAGAAATATATTTTTTTACAAACAATATTGTTTTTATACAATATTCAAGAAACTATTATTCCATCATATAATCAAGATGAAAATTACACTTCTTTTTTATGTACAATGATTCATTAAGTCATAAATTTTCATAAAAATTATTAAAAAAATTTTTATTTTCTTAAAGAAAAAATTTGTTTGATTGAAAAAATTTTACAATAATATATAGTTGAATGATTTTTTTTTTTAGCATGAATACATTTTACCATCCCACTGAGAAATTTTTTTTAAAACGAGCGTTTTTCATTGCTTTTTTTAAGTATTTGAAAAATGTCATCTTAAAAGATAAAAAACCTAAACTTTATTTTTTTTAATGGGAGTCTACTTTTAGTTTTTGAAAAAAAAATTGTCAAACGCTTGTATTATAACTTTTTATCTGATGGACCATTCATTCGTTACAGCATTTTAAAACATAGATTGGATATATAGTATAGGTGAAGTACACATACATTAGTAGGAGTTGTATCCAGCAGCTACGTCTTATCCTTAATAAATTATCATGTATACATTAATGTATTAAAAAATTTAATTTTAAATCAGAAATTTTACCTTTAATATGTTTCCTCGAAACATTTTATTGAAAAATAAAAATCTTGAACCTATCAAAAACAATAACAAATACTATTATTAGAATTCAGATTATTTTTAATGAATATTAAATAACTTCACTATTTGAAAATATCAAATTTTAAATAAATTATAAAATATTTTAAATATCACGTACAATATTATTGTCAATATACTTCTGACTACAGACCACCGAATCATTAAACAGAAACCGGCTTAAAACGATTAGATAATAAACACTTGTTGCGGATATCAAAAATTATAAGGTAAGCAGATAGGGTACATAAACATACAATAGTATTTCTATGGTAGGGTATGAATATGAGCCATCAATATTGAATATCATTGGTTAATTAAATACTATATAAAAACTTTAGCGTTTATTGTGGTCGAATATAACGAACTAAAATTGTAAATTTTACAAGTCAAATATACTTTAAAACTTACTACAACATAGCTAAATAATTTTTTATACTTTATCAGTACCAAATCTTTTTTAATCATTAATTTGTATTTTTAACTTATTGATATTCTATATTTCAATTTGAATAATTACAATATTTTAAAATTTAATCAAAGGTTATAGAGCATAATTTGAATTATGTATTATGCAATGAACAAACTATAACATGTAAACTAATATTATAAAAAATAAAAAGTTGAGTACAATAGAGATCTAATAAAGTGAAGTTGAGGCACTTTTTAGATTGGTATTGATTGATATCTGACAGTGATTTAAATCACAATCGTAAAACGTTTCGGTGCGTATTTGAATCATTAAAAATAATTTAATATATCATTATAAAATTACATAGTTTTTTACTTAGATATTAATTACTCAAAGTATAAGCCACAGGATCATTTTTAATAATGTATTACATCAAATTACCTTTTATTTGAAATAATTTAGAGTAATGTAAGCATTCCATTATTATGTAATTATAACAAAATCAGCTGATTTTACTAAACAATTTACGATTTTTGGCTTTAATGTCCAATAACTCCCAGAAATCAATAATTTTTCTTATTTCATCTTGAAGTATGATGTATTAGTTTTAAATTAATGTATATTTTTAGAACATTTTAGAAATAAATTTAATATCATTTTTTAATACCCACAGTATCCTTGTTAATGACCGTATTCTCAGAAAAAAGTATGTTTATGACAATGCAAATGTTTGAAATGTTACCAATAAAAATTTTGCGATAATGTGTCCAGTTTTCAAAGTAGTTTCAATATACTGTGAAAGTTAAAAATATCAACACTGTTCTAAGACAATATAATTTTTTTAAGCATTTCTATTTATTCCTAGGATTGAGGGGAGTTTTTCTAAATTATAGTGCTGATAGCTTTAACTAGACACATTTTGTGATCTTATGATATATCGTTAACAAAATCGACTAGTAGGAGCTGGTTTAATGGTGTATATGGACAAAAAAAATATATGGCCGAATAAAACCAATAGATTCTCTGCTACGCATCGTAGCTAATAAGGCATATAATATGATAATAAATTAAACAGAATAACATCCAGGAATCATTAAAAAACCTCTTTCAATAACTTAAACAGTAGTTTAAAAGGATTAATCCTCTTTACCTATGTTAAACACTAATGATGGGGAACGATATATTTTTTTACAGCGATATTATTTGTATTTAGCGATAACAACATTGTTTTTATTGTAACATTGTTATTAAAAAATAATTTTTATTAATTTAAAAGCTACAGTGAAAAAAAATTAATAGTAATGATTAGATGGATAATTAGATTGGCTTCTATATGAGATATTAATCAGAAATATATAAAATACTAAATCAGCAAAATAAATTGAATACACAAAAAAGTTGGAGTGAACCACCCTGAATAACATTGTTTTTTAATTTTCTCTTTAAATATACATCCTAGAAAGTTAATTAATAGCTCATCAGATAAAATTTGTTGAAAAAATAATAAAAGTAAATTTTTAAAAATTAAAAAAATTTGATTAAATTTTAATAGCTAAAAACATATTTTATCAAATTTTTTTTTTGCTATCTCGTTCCCCAAAAATAGGAGAATAGATTTTGTACTTTATGATCTTATAAAAATTGCATTATTTGATAATTACTAGTAAAAAAAACCATGTTTCTTTGATTGTCTTATTTTAAATAAAATGCTTATATATTTAGAAAAAAGTTGAAAAATTGAGACAAATGTTACATTGCACAAAAATGTCTTAAGAAAAATATTAAGTTAGAAATAAATATTGATTTATTACCTTTAATTAAAACCTAAACCGACAGCTAAAACCTTGCATTCAACTTCATTATGTGGTAATTATGATGTTACCATTACTATATAATTTAGGATTTATAAATAGATAAAAACCTAAAACTCTGAAACTAAACCTATATTACAGGAAAAAAAAGTACAATCATATTGCCAAAAAGAACATATTTCAGTTCATCTTTATCATTTTATAAATATAATAATGGATCTTTTACATGTTAGGGAAATTCAAGGAGTCACTATTCATCTAGTAGTAATGAACCCCATAAATTATTTTATATTATGTAAACTTTTGATTAAAAACATTGATTTTTGCGAAAAATAATAACAAATTATCCTGGGACAAATGTTATTTCAATAAATGAAACCCAATTTTCGTTTGTTTCAATTTATTTGAAAAAAAAAAAATACATATGATATTAACAAGTTAAAGTGTTATTGAGGAATTGAATAAATAAATTGACAATATTTTTTGTATCATCAGTTGAAGGATGACTTTTGGCATAAGATAAGAACTGTCTTCTAGATTTGGCTAATTGTATTAATGTTAAATTATTGTCAAGTTTATTCAAAAATTTCCCATTGTAATTTGGTATTTCAATATTTACACCTTCAATTCCTTGCTTCTTTAGCTGTATTATCGACTAAAAAAATATAGCACAAAAAACATTAACATATATACTATAGACAAAATACTACTAAAATTTTAAAAGTTATAATATTTAATAATTTAACGGAAAATTATTAAAATTTAGATTTTAACAATATATAATTAAGATCAAATTCCAAACCTACATACAAATTAGGGTATGAATATTTGAAACTTTGATTATAAGAAAAAACCTACATGAATACTTTACAGATAAAAAATCAATCAAGTTATAATGTGTAAAAATACTTCCATGAAAATAAATACCCCAAGATGATTTTATAAGAAAACTAAAAAGTACAGAGTAAAGAATGGGTATATAAGAAATATTAACATATTTATATTTTTATTAATACAAACAATAACTAAGAAAAAGTAACAAATCAATTAACATATGGCAATTGAATTTATAAATAATAATAAGTTAAATTTTTAGCTTAATATTTTATTTTATTAATAAAATTAAAAGTAATGGACTTGCTATAACTTCAAGGACAATAAAGAAAGAAAGTTTGACATGTAAAAAATGTTTATATCAAATATTCTTAAAAATATGTTACACAATAAGTATTTAATATTTTAAAATAAAATTAATAAAAATAAGAAAATTTAATTCCTTACTTCATAATTTTTATTTCAAGAGTAAAGTTTTTTGGTCTTGTCAAACAAATATTTTATATAAAATTTGTAATCATGAAATTGGGAATAATTATGTTGAGTTATAGAAAAGTGAGTAAAATATTAGTTAAATATTACTTTAATAATAATTTCAAATATTCTGGTGTTATTAGAATTCATAATTTTTTAAACTTACAAAAAAACTTACATTTATGACATCCTGTGTTGTTTTATCCAAATCATATAAAAATGAAGATGAACTTAAAGGTGTCTACAAAAAAATGTTGTCCATGAGAAAAATTAATTTATTATGCACATAAATTTTAATGCGTGGTCAAGTCATTATTTATTTTTGGTTTACTAAGAATCTCACATTATGTATAAAATATCCATTTTTCCACTATGATCATTTAATATTTCCTCTAGATGAGAAAAATTTATTTTTATTTTGTAATTCTTATTTATAAATAAAGAAAATGTTAAAAGTACCCACTTAAAATAATTAAGAGCAAATTAAAAATTATACTTATTATAATAAAAAAAAATAACTTTATAAGTTTCCAAGCCAAAGTGATGATAATATCATTAACTTTAAGTTGCTTAAGTTGCTAATAAAACTTAAACTTTGCAAAAAGTATTTTACACAATAAATCAAATGATTTTATAATACTGTTATCACCTGAATTATATTCGGGTGATACTAGTATTAAAAAAAAAGCCAAGAACTCTAAAACAAACTTTCAAAGCTTTGAAAAATATAATGAGATTTATATTTTACTATATCTATCATACTTAATTATTAGAAGCAAAAATGTCTGAGAAAATAAAAAATATATGTTGACTTACATTTATAGTTGCTAAATTAGGTTTTGGGTCAGGGACTTCGAAAATAGCTTTTCTGATATCTTCTGCTGGTAATTTATCAGTTAACTGTAAATTTATTAAAGGTGAATCCCACCTAAAAAAATTAAATTATTTAATGAATTAAAACTAACATAACAGTGATAACTTTACCTATTTGAATGATTTGGTTCCTCATATCTCATTAGAAGATCATCAAAAGAGCTTTTAAGATACCTATCACTTTCAGGTCTATTTTCATTAAGCTGCCAAGCTCGTGCAGGAGAAATATCACAAACCACCAAACACTGAGGAGTACTAAGACTTTTAGAAGAACAATATAGTTCATATCTAAATCCTATAAAAAACAAAAATATAGTTACTTTAATTTAAAACTGAAGTTATGCCCCATACCAGTTCCAGAGGAGTCTACAATTAAATTTTAATTTGTATTTTGACTTCAATAATAATTTTATTTTTAAAATATTAAAATTAACTTTATCATAAATCAAGAGAAAAAATTAAATACATTACAAAATATAATTTATAATTTTGATTATTAATAGTAGCAAAGTCAGAAACTATTTTATCATGAATAGATAATATTGCTTTTTATAGAAAATTATTTTCCTTACAACGCTAAATAAAAATTTAAATGAACAAAAAAAAATAAGTCTAAACAATTTTTTTTAGCTGTATCGTTAAAAAAGTCATATAAGACTAAAAACCCAAACATTGATTTTATTTCGGGGAGGGATGACAATCCCAAATCTCTTCTGGTTGCAACAATGAATACAAAAAATAATTCTTTTTACTTATAATTTAACTAAAATATTATTTAAATTATCAAAGAACAAACCTTTAATAAAATTTCCTGAATCTAATATTACAACATTATCCTTTGTTAATTTTCTGCAAAAAGAATAAGTATATAAACAAAGTTTACATACTAGTAAAATAGAACTAAACAAAAATGTGTAAAACTTCTGATTTACTCAATATTTTATATTTATTTTTATAATTTTTACATTGTCACACTTTATTCAAAACATGTCTATTCTACTACAAAACTTTTTTTATTATCCATAAATAACTGAATTGTACTATGCTGGATATTCTTTTTCTCTTTGAGATTGTTCACATGAATATCTTGTCTTACTATATCAATATTGTTCAATGAAACATAAAAAACTGTATCTTATTAAAACTATCACCACTATAATTAAAAAATTTTTCTCTCGACTATTAAGGTGTTAACCTTAAAAACATACAATTATTGACCATGATCAATCTTGATATTTTAAACCACAAAAAATTGCATATTTTGGGAACATCATCAGCACTAAACATATATATATATTTATGTGCTTAGCACTATCATATGTGTTACCAAAATTTGTATATGTGATCTTATATTTTTGTGGATTTTTGAATTAAATATTTTTTTGTTATAAATTAATATTTTAAATATATTGTTATTTAATATTAACCTTAACTAATCCATTATTTTTATAAATTTAGAACCCGTCTTAAAATGTTTTATAATATACATTTTCTTTAGATTTTAAAATTTTTATTATACTCTTATCTTTTATTTTAAACAAAAAAACTACAAACGTAGAATAACATCCATTAATACTATATTAAAGTTTACACTATGTAGTTAAAGTTGAAAAAAAAATATATCTGACAATTTGATTTTTAATAGTAAGTTCATTAAATTCAAATAAATTTAAGTCAAAATGATTTTTAATATTTTATTATTGTAGAGAAACCAGCATCATTGAAATTAAATTAATAAACTATACTTTAAAAAATAAAATAAACTTCTAAATAAGTTATAGGTAATTTAAGTATAAAATCATACTACATTTTTAAAATAAATGTTAATTTTTTAATTTTGTTATTTAAAAATGTTTATATCTTACAAGTTGATTTTGAAAATTAGTAAGATAATTACCTTTTAATGGACTTACTATTTTTGAAAATCAAATAATTTAACTGTGTTCAATTAACATTTGAGAAAATGTCTATACAGCTACATTTCAACCATATAAAGTTTTTATTGTTTGTATCTTCAAGTATATATAGTGTTAAATTTCAATATATATTAGTCCTAAATATGCCAGATCTTTACTACACTACGTGCCAACAGTATTTAACTTTTTATTTTCAAAATAATCAATTTTAGCTTCGATGCAAAGCTGAGAAGGTATTGGTCTTACTATGATATGTTTTTTTTTTTTTTTTTTTTTTTT